GGTTTAAAAATTGTAGTGTAGATGTTCAGGCTCAGGCTGGAACCCAGGGTCTGAGACCTTCTCCCTCAAGGAATTTCAGAGCCTGGGCTCTAGGCTGAGCTCAGACATCTACACAGTAATTTTATCGTCCCAAGGCCTGAGTTCCACAATCCTGAGTCAGCTGACCCAAGCCAGCCGTACCCATGCCGCGGGTCTTTTATCAAAGTGTAGATGTCCCCCATGTGGCCAGAGATCAGATGTTCAGTTGGGCTCCTCCCTTTCTCTTTTCAGACACCCCCACCTTGTCTTTTCTTTCACACAAGCATGCACACACTCATTTTCACTTACCTCTCCCATATGTTCTTCTTCCTTCAGCTTTATCACTTGATCTCTCCTCTATCCTCTCTATCCCTCATCTCCTCACTCTGTCACTCACCTCAGAAGGAAGGGGAAGTGCTGGTTTGTTTTCCTAACTTTCATGTCTGGCACTGGTACATCTTAGTCCCTTTTGTTCTCTACCTGTGGCACGCAATTGCTTAGCCTTCCAAAAGCTGTAATACTCTGGTCTAATTCCAGTTATTGTGTTTAGTGTGCAGGTGGATGGGTGCAACTCTCCTCAAACCCCTCCTCCACAGTCCACCAAGATTTCATCCACACAGAATCAGTTCTCTCTTCATCTGCCAAAATTAATCAGTTCCCCATTCACATGATCAGTTCTTTCCATCCATAAAATCAATTTCCAACAAAAAAAATTTCCCCTCCCAAACAGTCAAAACTCATCACAACACAAAATCAGTTTTTCCCTCCAATACCTCATAGTGGTCAGGCACCTCTCCATTACAACGGCAGGCTCGGGTTCCCCCTAAGAGCACTGTTTCACAGGGAATGATGCTGATGGATAGGTTTGGTGCTGCAGGGTCCTTCAGTGAGGGGAAGGAACAGGGAGGCAGAGACACCCTTGTAGAGTCGAGAGGGAGAGGATACTTTATCTGCTCCTGGTTACACCTCCTGTGTGCCTTGCCTGACGCAAGTAGGAGGCACAGAAAATTCACTACAAATTCCAAGGTGGCACAGGATCACTCAACACCAGAGGCCAGAGAAAGAAAGAAAGTTGGACTCTCCAGTTAAAAGCTGGAAACTAAATAGATATGAGACACACATACACACAAAGCTATGGGATTGGGCATTGGAAAGTTAGGAGTTAGCTGATAGGCTGGAACAAAATGAAAGCTAGAGCCCCATGAAATAAGTCTCCAGGCCATGGACCAGTTCAGGCCAGAGTCCTACAAGGGCCAAAGCTTCCCACCAATTTGGTAACAGGTTCATTATTATCTCAACTGGTGTTACCTGAACTTATGTAAAGAGAGTCAATCATTTTCCTTATAGAATTCCAATAAGTGCTCTATTTTTTGGTATACAATGGATTTATCTTTAGTCTTCCTCTGCTTTTTGATCTAAACAAGCTTATAACTCATGGATACACAATAGCCACAGTGTGAGTGAGCTGTTCACCTGTCAAGTGTCTTTGAAACATATTTTCAAATGTGCTGGTGCTACATAACAAATCATCCTTACTCTGTAAAATACACTGAATACATTACTTTGACTAAAATAAATGTGCTTCATATGAAGGATTGATTCAGGGGCCTGAAGAAATCACTACATAGAAGACTGTTAGATTGATTCACAGGTTTCCCAAGACACACCCTACATGTCCCTCACTTAGATAAAAACATTTTCTTTTAATATTTGTGGACAAATATTGAACAAGAAAAAAAGACAACCAAGTGCAGATTGACATGAACCTTGTATTAGCTTCTTGGGAGACCTTCTAGTTCACACTTACAGTTGCTTTTTGCTCATGTGTTCCTAACATCTTCCATAGAAGTACATAACAAGTATAATATGTTTCTTGATGTGTATGAAAAATACCAATAATTTTTCTTTTCCCAACTAAAAAAAAATAAAAATCTCACCAATACAACTATTTTCAGACAAAGTCCATGCCAAAAAATGTTACTGTTTCATCTCCCTTATTTATTAGAATAGTCAGTGGTCACTGGTTCCATCACTAGTGACAGGAGCTGATCTAATGACTACTGAACTCAATAGGCAACAGAGAGTCCTGTGGCACCTTTAAGACTAACAGATGTATTGGAGCATAAGCTTTCGTGGGTGAATACCCACTTCGTCAGACATACCCTATTGAGTTCATGTAGGCATATGTCTAAATTGCACACTAAGCCTGGGCTCTGACTCGGGTTTGAGCCCAATCCTCACTTCCATCCACACACATATCAGTCTGACTTGGGTCAGCAAGAACTCAGGTCCTAGATCCTAGGCCCCTACTAGGGGGATGGGTCAGAGCCTACATCCTACTGTGACTCAGGTCCAAGCCCTGTCACTTTGCAGTGTGGGTGCAGGTCAAGCCACAGGCCCAAGTCAGAAGGTCCACACAGTGCAGTATGAACAAATTAGCATGGCTGTGAGTCCCGGGTCCAACAATTTTAAACCCAGATTTATAATGCAGTGTGGACGCTCAAGCACAGGCTTGGAAACGGAGTCCACAAGCTCAGATCCAGAATAGACATACCCTAGAAGTCTTGCCATTCACTTCAGTAGCCTTTGGACCTGGCCCATAGGGCTAGACCAGGGGTGGTCAAACTTTTTGGCCCAAGGACCACATCTGGAAATAGAAATTGTATGGCAGGCCATGAATGCTCATAAAATTGAGGTTGGGCTGCGGGAGGGGGTGAAGGCTCTGACTGGAGGTGTGGGCTCTGGGGTGGGGCTGGGGATGAGGAGTTCATGGTGCAGGAAGGGATTCCAGGCTGGGGGAGTAGGGTGTGGGAGGGGTGCAGGCACCAGCTGGGGGTGCAGGCTCTGGGGTGGGGCTGGGGATGAGAAGTTTGGGGTGTAGAAGGGTGCTCCAGGATGGAACCGAGGGGTTTGGAGGGTGGGAGGAGGATCAGGACTGGGGCAGGCTGTTGAGGCACCAGGAGAGGCTAAGGGATGCAGGCTCCAAGCGGTGCTTACCTCAAGCAGCTCCTGGAAGCAGCAACCGTCTCCCTACTCCAGCTCCTATGCGAAGCCGCAGCCAGGTGGCTCTGCGCGCTGCCCCGTCTGTAGGCACCGCCCCTGCAGCTCCCATTGGCCGCAGTTCCTGGCCAATGGGAGCTGCGGGCGCGGCACTTGGGGCAGGGACAGCATGAAGAGCGGTGCCCCCTGGCTGCCCCCACCATGCAGGAGCTTGAGCGGGGCCATGCCACTGCTTCCAGAAGCAGCGTGGAACGGCCCCTGACCCTGCTCCCCGGCTGGCGCAGCAGAGCAGGGCCATGCCGCTGCTTTGGGGAGCCGTGTGGATTGGCCCCTGACCCTGCTTCCTGGCTGGAGCACCGGAGCGGGGCAAGCTCCAGACCACGGTCCCCAGCGGGAACTCGATGGCCACCTTAAAACAGCTGGTGGGCTGGATACAACCCGCAGGCCATAGTTTGCTAGACTGTAGCTTTATAATCTGCCCCGTGTAAGGGGCAGTACAGAGGTCCTCCTTCCCCACAGCAGAACAGAGAGTGAGTTGTGACTCCCCGCAGCACAGCCAAAGACCCACCCTGAGCAATGAGGACTGAGTAATGTTGAGCCCTACCTCCCCACACAGTGGAGTTAGGGCTCTGACAATCTATAGTGAACAAGGATATAGAAAGATCTTAACAATACAGTTGGTTTCCCTTTTATTTCATACTTCAAAAGCTGTTGAAAACATGGTGTAAGTGTAATACCGACAGACCCCAGTTGTTGGTAAGCGGACTCGAACCTGGGACCTCTGGAGCTTAGTGCATGAATCTCTACCGCATGAGCTAAAAGCCATATGCCTACTAGGTAAGGCTGTAGAGCAGACTCATTAATCTCTTTCACTCTAAGTGGTCTCAGTGCCACTAGATGGGACAGAACACCACACCTAGGAGATGTGTGGGTTACATACATCCCCCTAGCCGAGGAAGTACATCCCGAGCTTCAGAGACTTCCCAGTTGAAATCCCGGATGAGACCCCACTTGGAACACGGACAGACCCTGGTCGTTGGCGGGCAGAACTGAATCTGGAGCCTAGTGCATGAGCTTCTACTGCATGAGCTAAAAGCCATATGGCTGTTAGCTAAGGCTGTAGAGCAGATTCTCTTTCCCTCTCTCCTCCCACTCACCCCCGATGGAACAGAACACCACACACAGAAAAATGGAGGGAAATAAATGGGTTTTCTGCTGTTTAATATTAAATAGCAATTTGAGTAGAAATTCAGATTGTTCACTAAACACTCTATAAATCTGTGAAAATGTGGTGTGCCTGCTGCCCAGCTCAAGTAAGGCTTTTAGGCATGCAGGCCTGTTTTCTAGCTCATCCGAAGGAATCTGCAAAGAGGGTATAGATTCATACAAGCAGAATCAACCCACCAATCAGTATCTTGCAAAAATGGGTAAAGAGTGGGCAAAGCTGACAGCTTAGGCACACAAAGTGTCTTCAAGATACTTTATGTGGGCAAGTGCCATCCTAGGCAGGCAGCTCTAGTCAAGTGGAACCCAGGCTTAGATTGCCCTTATTTATCACCATACAGCTACAATGACTTGACCCAAACATATTGGTGGTTTAAAAGCCTCTGGGGATTTTTATTAGCAGGAGGCAAACCATATCAAAACTCAAAAGGGAATATTCCCTGGGTGCAAATTGACCCACAGGAATAAATTTTTAGCCCTTCTCAGATTTTGTAGACTAAGAACCTTTGTATGTAAGTGTACAATCACACCAAGATTATTTGAGATCTCAGTTAAAGCCCTAACACACATGAGCCATACTTTACCTGTACCAGAAAGAAATGTTGGCAAGCAGAACCAGTCACCATCTGAATTGTTCTTTAGGGTCATGGCTCTCTAGCACTATGGTCTGCATGATTTGCATATATTAGAATAATATTCTACCAGTTTTAGGAGTTCATGAGTAAACCTTTATAACAGGTTCAACTTCACAACAGTTAGCATGCCAGGATGAAATTGTTTATTTCCTTGAGAATAAAATTAACATGTAATTTCAAATGTTGTCATGCTTTGAGGAACTAAGCAAAAGTCCTATGGTCAGTAATCTTCCATTAACTGTAGCACTGTACGGTAGCTTATTAATTTGGTCTTGCCTAATATGTGGAGGCTATCTGAAATCACACGCCAAGCCTGGTTTGAGTTTCTTCTAGATATTTCTTCCAGATTGATCATACATGCTTTGTGATTGTTTCATATTTAGTGTTTACCCTTAAAACATATTTAAAACATTGTATAACCACACTGTCTGAAAAACACAATAGACAGAGGTTTCCCAGTGACCTTCATATGTAGAGCAGTTGACTAAAAGACGAGAGGAATTGCAACAGGCCACTACAAATATCCAATATTCATAACTCTTTTTGTCCAGTTATACCCTTCAAAAATATACCACATTTTTCAGTCACATGCAGTTGTGAATTGGATACACAAATAAGTGGGGCAAAATGACTTACTGCATTCCTTTGGAACTATATCCCTATAGGGGTTCTGAATTTTTTTTTAAATAAATAAGATTTTATTTAAGAGAAGATATAGCCATGAAGAGTAGCAAGGAAGAGTAGTAATCACAAGAACAAAATAAAGGACCAATTCCTGAAGTCCTTACTCAGAGATAAATTCTCTGCTGGGACAAATGAATGAAATCCATTGAAGTCAATGGAGCTGTGTTCATTTATGCCTGCAGAGAATTTGGCCCTTTTTAGAGTCCTTACTAAGGCCAATCTTCCGCTGACATTAAGTTAAGGACAGAGTGAAAGCTAAGTGAAGACTTTAGCATTTGTCCCAGTGAAAGGAACTGTTGGACAACAAAGATTTTGTGAGACTCATGATGTACTCAGGAAACCCTCCTTGTGTTTTGTAACCAAAAATATCAATCACGAATATCTTAAGCAAAAATAGACTAGTGAGTGCTGCACTCATGAAGTGCCAGAATGCAAGTCTCTGAAGGGCCATAAAATGCCATTTCAGCTCCCCCCAAAAGTGCTGGAATGCCATCCAAGGGTGTTCCAGCAGGGCTCAAATACAACTTTAGAGAACAGGCTCTGGCTTCCTTTGGCAAATTCTTTTTTCACTCAAATAGTTTATGCACAGTCCCACCCTCGGTTAAACAACGTGTAAAACAAACAGAACTTGGCACTGCATTTTCTGAAGAAACACAAAGTTGGCTTCTCCCCGTCTAGTACTGAATTCTGAGCCATTTAGACTCCCCAAGGCAGTGTAAATGAGTTCGCTCACTGAAGTGTGTCTCTGTGTTGTTATTTGCAAACAGTTTAATAAGAAGATGTTACAAAAGTGGTAGAACTGATATGGTTGGTTTGCTTGTGTATGTGTCACAGAAACAGGTACAAAGCCTGCCCATTCAGAACCCTATTGCAATAGTTGTATTAAGTAGCTAGAGGATACAAAAGCTTTTCCTTATGGCTTGAAATAGCCAGAAATGTCATCTTTGTAAACCAGTATGAGCAATTAACATTAACAATTAAAAATGTTGTTAAGATAAAACAATATCAAGAATCTACGTCTTCAGAAACAACATTATAACAACAAAGAGCCAAATTCTGCCCTCCATTGCTGTCATGCAATCTCATTCATTAATTGCAGTGAGGGCAGAATATGGACCTTATCTAGATACATATTTTCTTAGGGCAAGACAAACTATGTCTTATTTAACTCTGCTCTTCCCTTCTGAAGGGTAAATATTGATATTTGAAATACCTAATTATATTTACAGCTGTACAACACTGATGTTATATACTTGTAAAATATAACTAGTACTTTATAAACAAGGGGTAAGTTATACAATCTGCTTCAAACGGGGGAGGGGGACGGAGCAGACATCCTCACACATTTTCTTTGTCAAATTCACATACAAAATACATTGTAATGTGACAGGCAACATCATTCCATCCACCAGAGGCCACCATTTCCACACAGTCCTCCTCATCATAGGCATTATTGGGTTCGCCGCTGCGCCATTTGTTGAAGGTCTGCATGGGTGATCGATCAGAATACACAAAATTGCCCTCTTTTTCCAGGTCGTTGATCCCAATGAAAACTCTGGTGAGCCCTGCTTGATTGATGTAAGAAGCAATCAGACTATTGGTATTCTCATCCTTGGGCATGGTCAGTGTTCCTCCTCTTCCATGGCAGTAGAGCTGGGCATCCACATATCTTTTCTCTTCTTTCACCAGTAGGTATATCTTATTATCTGTCTCACGCACACCAGCGACAGCTGCGGGGGAGGGCAGTGCTGAAAAGTGAGCACTCGCATTTCTATAAACCAACTTAATGCACACCACAAAAATAGATACACAAATCAAATATGAAATGGCCATATTCTTTAAGAGCAGCTTCATCATTAAAAAAATAGGGCACTTGGAAAGGGAGAAACATACAAAATAAACATACCATTTTTTATGAATTTTAATTCAGTTGTCAGCTGGGCCACTTGGATATCCATTTCCCCAATAGCCTTCCTTAGCTGGCTGCATTCACAAGGGATGCCTGCAGAGATCAGGGTGGGTGCTTGCTGTTAAATTGTATATACAAACATAAATAAAAATGTTTCGTGAAATATATTTATGTGAATGTATTGCTCACAAAAGGGGCTAGCCTGATGACCCCAAAGAGTGAAATTCTCTGTCCAATCATAGGCAGCAACCATGCAAACTTCCCCATGTTGACCCACCAACAGCCTTCACTCTGACCTTTGGGTCTACCTATAAGAGTTCAGTTCATTCTCTATGCCACCTCAGTCCTTGGCCTCTCTGAGGAGATCCCAAACGATGGTGCCAATTAGTGCCAAACATGTGGCAGACAACGGTCTGCTAGGAACAAAAATAGGACGTCTTCAAACTTCTGAGTTCTCAGTGATGCATATATAAGGCAAAATTCTCCTCTTCTATTTTCACTGCAGATCTCTTTTCCACACAGGAAATCTGTATGGCATATTCTGCATTTGCTCTGCATGAGGAATCTATCTATACAGCAGATCAGAGGCAGATGTTTTACTCCTATTATGTAATACTTATAATTAGCCCTAAAAGACAGTTCTGGCCATTTCAAAAGTGTTGGTTTGTTATAGTTCTTCCAATAAAAGACTCTAGAATTCTGCCTATTATCCCAAATTTACAATGGTCTGAAAAAAGCAATTTTTATGATATTATTAAAAAGGTCACTTCTGAGAGCCCAGTTTTGAAAACTAGGTTCCAGGTAAGGCACCCAGTTCTGCATATAGGTATTCAAACCTGTATTTAATCATGCTAATATCCAGTTTAGGTACCTAACTGCCTAACCCCACCCCCACCTATCAGCTCTCATTCAGTATTTTTGACAAATCAGCTCCTGCCCCAGATCTGCCTGTAATGTCAGCCTCCATGGCCCATTTGTTACATTTTCAAACAAGCACTTTTGTGCTTTCTCCAATTCTGCCCCTCACACATGGAGGAGCTCCCCGTAAATATCTGCAAAGCCACTTCATTGTCCTCCTTCAAAACCCTCCTTATAACTCCCCTTTCCCACAGTGCCTCCAAAAAAATTCAACAACTGCTGGCGCATTGATACCGCAGTCCATCATACCGACCATGTCATCTCATTGTACTTCCTCATCTGATTGTCTGTATCTATCTGTTGTCTCTTGTCTCACATGCAGATGTTAAGCTCTTTGGGGCAGGGAATATAATTTACTCTTTGTTTGTACAGCACCTAGCACAATGGGGTCCTAGTCCATGACAAGGTCTGCTAGACACTACAATAATACAAATAGTAAAGAAGTGCCAATCTGAGCACTCATTGCAAACTGGAACACCCAAATCAGAGAATTGCATTATGTTAACTTGGCATTCTGGCCCATGAATTAGAATAATAAATGGTAATTCCGTGAGAAAAACTTATGTGGTGCTTTCCACATCTTAGGGGGGATTTTCAAAGTTAAAAATAGTAGTTTGGTGCCCACTCCCATTTCCTTCCCTGCTTCTTCCTTGCTCCCAGAGCACTGTAATTCACTGCTGGTTAGAATCTGACCCTTAACCTGTGCTGTATATTCCCTTTTAGGGCCAGATTCTGCCACCCTTATGTACCTGTACTGGTACTTACTGACTTTCATTGTGAGTTGGGTACCTAGCCTTTGAAAAATCTCCTCTCTGAAGGCTTTGAGCCAGATTCTGCAGGTAGAGCAGTGCCTTACTCCTGAAATAAATGGGACTGCTCGTAAAGTAAAGTACTACTTCAGGTGAGTAAATTGGCAGAATCTGGCCCTAAAATGGCAGACACAGCAGAGGTTAAAGGCCAGATTGTAGGCCCGTACACATGGATAGTAATTTAAGTAGTGTAGATCAGCAGTAAATTACTAACCGGCAATGGAGCAAAGAGAAAGCCGGGGAGGAAATGTAACTCAGAAGTGTGTCTCCTGTGGCTATTCCTAGACTAGTGCAGCTAGCACATACTAAGCCCTGACTCAGCAAAGCTTTTAAACACCTGTCTAAGTCCATCCCACTTCAGCAAACCTCTTAAGAACATTTGGAACCTACACACGTGCTAAAGTACTTTGCAGGCCCTTGCTGCTTACTGCTGTATGCCTGGACCAGAGTCTGAGTAGCCCATGTAGGAGTGAAAGCGGGGTTCCTTCTCCTTTTGCATGGGCACAGTCCAAGTCATTATCTATCCTTAAGACTCTTCTCTTCACATACAAGGCACTGCATAGCCTTGATCCTTCCTAACCTTCCCATAAGAGCAGATGTTTTAGTAAACATTGATTGTTCATTACTCACTACCTAATAACCACATCTGTTACATTTGTATCATTCAGTGGTTGCTAACAACACATAATTAATGCAAACAACATTTCCATTTTTCCATTTCTATTATCTAACATAAAATCTATTAAAGATACTCGAATGCAGGGGAGGTGCTGCATTTTTGTCCTAAAAGCACCGATAGTCTATTGTTTTCCATCATCTGAGTCTAAGGTCAGGTCTACACTACAAACTTACATTGGTATAACTATGGCACTCAATGTAGTTATACCAACCTAGCCCCCCTGCATAGACAGCACTATGCCAAAGGGAGCGCTTCTCCCGTCAACATAGCTATCGCCTCTCATGGAAGTAGATTAGCTGCGCCGATAGGAGAAGCTCTCCCATCAATATAGCAGCATCTTCACTGACGCAGCTGCACTGGTACAGATGTGCCACAGCAATGTTTTACATGTAGACCGGCCCTAAGCTTTTCATACTCCTAACAAGATACCCGTTGATCATCCAATGGTTTTTCAGAGTCTCAGATGATGTGTAGAAAGGCTTTGCAAAACAGCTTCTCTCCACCAGCATAACTGGCAAAAATCACAGTATTCTTGAAAACCAAAATAAGGTCAGTTCTGTAGATCAGTGGTTCTCAAATGTATTTGATTGTGTCCCCTTCTTTGTTTTTGTAGTGGTTTACAACCTCCCCCGCTCCCCAACATACAAGTACATATACCCTTAAAAAATCCACATGCAACTCTCACTAAATATTAAAACCAGTAAGGCACTGATTCAAACAGAGCCAACGATCCATTGTAATAAGAGCAAAAGAAAAACTGCAATTGTGGTTGATGCTTACAATTAAATGCACACACCATGTCGTAGCAAAGAACGGATTAACGTACAGAGGGCGATGACTTTGTATAATGCTATGCAAGCTTAGCAGAAATCCATGAAAATGCACAGCGCCATCTAGAGTCAAATGCACAGCACCATCTGAGGACCTGATATGTCTGGAGGAATCAGCTTAGTTATTTATCCATTGCTGGGGGTAAGCAATAAGTTCTTTTCCCAAAAAAACTTTTCATGCCCCCCAGAATACATTCTGCCCCCCCTCACATGGGCACCTGCCCCTGCAGTTTGAGAACTTCTGCTGTAGATGAAGATATGCCCTCCTACCCTGCCAATAAATTCTACAAAGCCTGAGCCTGTTGGCCTTGTAGACAGTGGCCTGAAGTCCCTAAGTCCCTTAGGCCTTGTTCCTGCACTGAGAACCACATGCACAGCACAGCTTTGTGCCCATGAGATGTCCCACTGAAGTTGATGAAGGTGCACGGGTCCCCCACAGGGTTCTTAGTGCAGAATTAGAGCCTAAGTAGGATGTCCAGAGACGTCTTTTTGCACAGTGGGAATGACTGGGAACAAGTTGCATTCCTGCTCCCATTAGCTTTCTGGAATAACTAAATCCATGTTAAAAGCAACAGAGGGTCCCGTGGCACCTTTGAGACTAACAGAAGTACTGGGAGCATAAGCTTTCGATTGCATCTGAAGAAGTGAGGTTCTTACCCACGAAAGCTTATGCTCCCAGTACTTCGGTTAGTCTCAAAGGTGCCACAGGACCCTCTGTTGCTTTTTACAGATTCAGACTAACACGGCTACCCCTCTGATACTTAAATCCATGTTGAGTTAGTGGGGAGCTATTGCGCATTCTTTCAAGCAGTTGTCCACCCCCAGAAGGAATTATAGTACAACTCTCAGCAGTCATTGCATCCTCAACAAACGTTTTGTAAAAGTACCCTTGTAGATGTGCAGTATAATCCAAATTACAATGCATAAATCAGAAGAGGTTATTCAAAAATTTAAGTTCCAACATCATTCTTCAGCATTTTTAAAAGGAATGTGTACTATACATGATTTATACATTTTTTAAAAAAACTATACACTTTGAAGATCTATCATGGTTTACCTGGGTCTCCATTAGGACCAGGTGGCCCTATATCCCCATTATCTCCCTTTTCACCTAAAAAATGAAAAATATCATCAATTTTGCTGCTCAGCAAATGGATTGCGTCACCAGTTTCATTAACAGAAAGTTTCTAAACAGGTTTTTTTTGTTAATGACTAAGATTTACGGCAAAAAAAATGCATAATGTAAAGATGGGCCCCAAATGATGGAGAATTTGGATTTGTTGTCCCAGTTAGTTCATCATCAAGACAGGCCCAAACTGTGTAGTCTGGATTCAGAAACAAACATCATAACTAGTTTCATTCTGTTCCATCTCTTGTTATTTGTCCCAGCACTTGCTTAGGCACTTTACAGAGCAATGACTTCCGTGGAACCTGTAAGGAAGTAGCACATCTGAAAATCAGGCCACTTTTATTTAGGTGTCTAAATTTTGATTTAGAAACCTAAAATTAGACAGCTCCATTGAAAATGCTGTTCAAAATGATTTGACCAATGTCACATAAGAAGTGGGAAGGCCAAGGAATTCAGACCTCATGGCTTCTGAATCTGTGCCTCTGCCAAAGTACAATCCTACTTCCCACCCACTCTCCTTTAAATACCTATACTTGGAGGTCGATGTAATTTAAAGACTCTTTCATCTACCCACAAGTCAGGTTTCTAAGACTTCTTGATCCTGCTATGTGTCAGGGTGTAAGACAACTAGTCCAGAGATCTCCATCCTTTGATTGACTAGAATGTGATTAAATTATAGGACTTGCTGTATATTTTGGTAAGTTCTGAGACAATCTGAGTAATTTTAAATAAGAATGGGACTCATCTCAAAGATAATTGGCCATTGATTATTCAGTTGAGACACCACCGGAGAAAAAAAGATTGAATCAAATATACCTTTTGAACCGATGGGACCAATTTTTCCATGTCGACCCACACTGCCCTTCTGTCCTTTGTCCCCCATTTCTCCTAAACATAACAAAAAGATCAAAGACACAAGTTAAAAACATTGTCTGCTTTATTCAGATGTCCAGCAGCACTTCAGTATCATTTTCTATGGCAGGCAGCAGAAAATGTTGTAGCAAATTTTCTTTGCAATTACAATGAGTAATCACCAAGGTTTGTCAAATTCCAGGAGTCCAGCTCTTTCCTCATCCATGGCCTGCTACATAAATAACACAGAAGCATATTTAATCTTCTCAGTGCAGTTGACTTCACGGGACTGCACAGGTATAAATTAAAATAGAATTTGACTGAAAGCCATAAAAAGAAAGTTTTTGTATGACTCCACTCAGATAGAAGAACAGGAGTACTTGTGGCACCTTAGAGACTAACAAATTTAGACTAACACGGCTGCTACTCTGAAATCCACTCAGATAGTTTGTCATGCCAATGTATTGTTGAAAATAAGGGGAGATTCCAGAAAAACTTGTGGATCAAAAGACTGAATCTATTATGGAATTTAAGAGATTTAAAAGTCTTCAAGCATAATGAGTCAATTCATCTAGTGCTGTGGTTCTCAACCATGGGTACACGTACCTCTGGAGGTACGCAAAGGTCTTCCAGGAGGTACAGAAACTCAGCTAGATATTTGCCTAGTTTTACAACAGGCTACATAAAAAGCACTAGCAAAGTCAGTACAAACTAAAATTTCATACAATGACTTGTTTATGCTGCTCTATATACTGTATACTGAAATGTAAGTACAAGATTTATATTCCAATTGATTTATATTATAATTATATGATAAAAATGAGAATGTATGCAATTTTTCAGTAATAGTGTGCTGTGACACTTTTGTATTTTTATGTCTGATTTTGTAAGCAAGTAGTTTTTAAGTGAGGTGAAACTTGGGGTACGCAAGACAAATCAGACTCCCAAAAGGGGTACAGTGTCTGGAAAGGTTGAGAACCCCTGATCTAATGAAGTAGCAACAAAGTAACTGAGAGCAGAATTTAGTCTTTGTGTTCTGTAAATTCAGTGGAGACAGTTGCATACTTATTCTTTTGGGGTGTTGGACTTTTGGGACTTTGGGGTGATCTTTTGGGTTGTTGGAATTAAGACCCTGAGGGGAAAAGGATACTGCCAAACTTACTTGGGGGTGGGTCTTTTGCTCATGGTTTGTTATGAATCCTGTTTCCCCAACATAATGCCGCATTGTTTCCCTCCTTTATTAAAAGGATTTTGCTACACTCAGACTCCGTGCTTGTGAGAGGGGAAGTACTGCCTCTTAGAGGTGCCCGGGGGGTGGTGGTGGTATGTAATTGTCCCAGGTCACTGGGTGGGGGCTCGAGCCGGTTTTGCATTGCGTTATTGAAACAGAACCCCTAGATACTGAACCCGGCCCTTGTTGCTGCCAACTCAGATGGGCAGAAGGGTTACAGTATCATAACGAGAAGTAGTGAAAGCCTTTCGTTTGCCCTCTAGATACACACACACACACCACACACACACACAGTCTAAGTAATTCACAGCAGGAATGTAAAGTGTTATTAATTTTAATGAAGATACCATGCAGTTCTTTAAAGTAGAGTTGTGGTAAATGAGCCACTTGAAATCATCTTCCTCAGCAATTTTTAATGAATAAAGGATAAATATGCACATTACAAAAGCTGACATAAATTGTCAACAGAGTTGCCATAATTTACCCTCTTCTCCTTTCAGTGTTCGTCCTGGCTTTCCATTATGTATACACAAAAATCTAATAGAAAAAGGTTTGATTCACTTTCTTCATCTGACTTTGACCCCTTTTTTCCTGGTTGTACCGTATAACAGAATATTCAGATAGCTCATGGAAAACAAGTGCATTGTAGGAGGTACGTGCCGTGCTTTATCATCATATAGCACACAAAGTAAGCTGAAGAAGAGAAACCACTGTTATCTGGCCAATGAATCACTGTAGAGTGGGTCTTGGTATCATTTATCTGAACTCTTCCCCAGAAAGTATCTGTCATGTCATTTATCACTAAAGTAGTTTTAATCAATTAGTGATGTTCCGATCCACTGGTTGGAATCAATGGCCACATTCTACGATCACTAGACCAAATTCCACTTTTGACCACCATATGTGTCTAAGCTAGGAAAGCAAGCCAAGAATCACAAATGTGGCTGTTCCCCGTCACACCCTTCAACCAATATGGGAAATCATTATCCTGTTGGCATAGATAGTGTCAACAGACTTCAAAACCCACTATTCGAAAGCATGGGACATATCTCCTGCTACCCAGTATCTAGAATGCTTTCTGTAATGAATACTGAAAATGGTTTGGCCCTGTCTACACTAGCAGCCAAAACATTTTCAATGCTAGCGGGACCAGTGTCTGACAACCGTTGCTGAACACTGGTTGTTTTAATAGCATAGGCAGGGCACTCCTGCACATTACTGAAGCCTTGGCTTAAACCAGGCCACCCGTGGTTAGTAGGCCACAACTCTTCTAAGCAAACCCAAATAGATATACAGGTGCTATATATACTTAAGTTTGTCTGAGCTGGAAGTTGCTCTTTCCCTGTAGTGTAGTAACTCTGAAGCCAGCAAGATCATTAATCGTCGGGATGAGGAGGGGGAATAATCTGGACCTGGTAAATACCTGGTAAATACCTGGTATGTCAGCTGACTTGTTTCAAGTAGGCTTTCCAGGAAATGTCCCTGTCCTGACTTGTAAACAGCAATAAAAGGGAGTAGCCTTGGTTTTTTGCTGCACATCCCACCACCAGGCATGGCGGGGGTCAAAAGAGTATGCCCGCTGGCTATGCCCCCATGTACATCCCAGCCAGACATGCCAGAGCACAACACATTCTGGTCAGACACCCTCCTCGTACCAGTAAGCCCTCTATACTAGGGACTGCACAGGGGATGGTGTAGCAACTGGCTATGCCAGCTATTCACCAGCTAAGGAGCTCCATGAGCTTTAAGTCCCATTTGCCCGATGAGTCTGCATAAGTGGACTAGAGCAGGGGAGACAATCTGGCCCAGAATTTCCTGAGGCAGCTTGGTCTACAACTGTTTCCACTAAAAATCCTATGTGGTCTTCTTCTCAAAGGAAATCCAATCTTAATTTAAACCGTGCAACATATTTTATGCATTGTCTCACAATGAAAGAACCATTCATTCAATGAGATGAATTCAAGGAAAAATTACTATACACAGTAGGCCAGATCTTCAGCTTATAAATTGTCATAGTTTAGTTGAAGTCACTAGAGCTATGACAATTTATGCCAGCTGAGGATCTGTGGAATTCTTTGCTGCAGATCGTAATCACGTACTTTGGCTGGATTTTTTTTAAAGCCTAGATAATTTTATAACTAAAAATATAATTTTAAGATAAGGACAATCAAATATCATGCTTCTAGGCAAAATCTAGTCTCCATAGGGTCAGGAAGAAATCTCCTAATTATCCTGGGTGAAAGTTTCACACAACTAGCTACCGGTAGATGCATTATGCTGAGGTAGGAAGCTCAGATTCCACCTTCCTCAGATGCATCTGGTGTTGGTTGCTGTCAGAAAGGACATCTGAATTGATGGGCTACTGGCTAACTGTCTTGTACTATGGTATTTCCTAGGCATCTTTAACTTATCTATGCACCAAATGATTATGGAAAAGGACCAAAAGTTCTAAAAGGAATGATGTGTACACAATCATTGTGGAATTAGGAAACTGTACATGAAACCACAGGTATTTTCCTCCTAATGCATGTGATCCCAGTAGAAAAACAGAAGCAATCTGTACAATCAGTTGAGAAAGTACTGTCTGGGAGATAGCCTTAGCTCACATGGTGGATTCAAGATTCCGTGAACACTTTAAGGATTCAGTCTGTGATACTGTATTAACTGCAGAGAGTTATTTTTGCTGGAATGTGATGAATGTTGGGGATGTATTTCCCAGGAACTCCAAATGTGTCAAAAAGTGTTAGACTATTATGACCTTATTAAGCTTATCAAAAAGTGGCCTTGCTCACTCTGATATGAATTGGTTATAGGAAGACTGGGGGTTATAATAAAAGGATTATATCAGAGGTTTGAACACCCAGTTCTAGGGGTCCTTAATAATTCATTTCAAACAGCTGTATCTGAAATGAAACAGACATGTATTCAGCCCATAAATATAGCATGATATATAAACACAACTAATTTGCTTTTTGTGACTTCACATCCTTTTATGTAAACAGAACAGACTACTTATCAATAATAACCAGTAAAATGAAGCCTATGTGTTCTACTCAGAAATAAGAGTTTGTTTATCTCAAACCCAGGAAACACATATATTAATTATTCTGTGCTCATTAAAAGAACTGTTTGGATTTGATTTTTTTCTACAGTCTCTCTCCCCCTACAGGAGTTTGCTTGTTCCATCCTCACAGAAACACTTACTGGCTGGTAGCAAACTGTAGTGTCATTCAAGGGCTTCATCGGACTTGCGTTACACCCCTTTTTCCCTGTGATTTAATCTCCCCATGGGATAACCATTTAATTTACCCATGGGAAAGCCTCTCTCCATGTAATTATTTCTTCCTATGGAGTAACCAATTTAAAGAGAGATTCCTCTACATCATTGGCTCTCAAACTATGATTTGGGGACCACCTGTGAAGTCCGTTCTAGCAGAATACAGAACTGCCAAAAGAGCAGTCCAAAAGCGGCACGAGAAAGTTGGGGAGGATAGAAGCTCGGAGGGAATGCAGTCCACACTCCCTGGAGTGACCAAAAGAGATGTAACTACAAATTTGGACAAACAGTACAAACAGTCATCTGCAAGTCTCTACTGGTGATTATACACTTTGAAACCAATGTCTCAGCATCACATGGAACTCCACAGATGATAAAAGACTTCAGGATCTTGGAAGGGAGCTAAAAAAGAGGCAAATCCAACTGATCTTCTTGGAGATCCTTCCCATGAGCAAGAGAAGGCAGAAAATACTAAAGGTGAACTATTGAGCCACTTCAAAAAAAATGCGTTTTAATACAGCCAAATGC